TTTCCATCAGTTAGTAGAGACTGGCTGGCAAAATGAGAGGCAAGACTTTCCATAGCATGAATATTCTTTGGACTTAAAAGAGAGAGAATAGACGTGCCAAATAGCTCAACTTCTTTGGTTTGTTCTTTAGGTGAAAACCCTGTCCCAAGGGACAGTACCATACCAAATTTAACAGGCTTTCCTTCTTTCTTTCCTTGTTCGATAATCTCAGCCATACCATCAAGAGTTGGGTTATTAGCAACAAGGCCACCATCAAGGAGCTTCAAATCAAAAAGGAGAGGAGAGTAATAAGGTGCAGCACCACTGATGTGACAAGCTTCCCAAACTTTGCGCTCCTTTGGTCCAGCATGTCCATCTCTAGGCTCACCATAGCTGGTCATCAAGTGAAGCTCAAAAGGAATAACATGAGCCAGGGATGCTGTTACTATCACACGACGAGATGGCTCTATATCGCCCATTTTCAGGAACTTTGAGAATGTTTGCTGGAAAGTTTCTTCAATCCTTCCCTTACGCTCGGATGCAGCAGAAGCAATAACATAACGGGCTCTACTCATGATAGCTCTCACGTTATAAGCATCGGCTTTTAAATAAGCTAGTGCACAGGCTGTTTGACCACCAGCGCTAGTACCAACTATGTAATCAAAGTATTTATACATACGTACAGAAGATGAAGCAAGGTCTGACATTCTCTCTTCAATATTCACTAGAATCTGCGTTAGAACTAGCACTCGCATTCCTCCGCCATCCATGCTGAGTACATATGTATCATTGCTTTTCTGAGGCTCTGGGACATCTGAATGCTTAGAGAAATATTTCTCCGTCTTTGCGCGTAGCTTGTTGCTTTCGATCAAAATATCGATGATGGTGTCAAGTTTGTCTGCATACTCTTTCTTGTTGAGAACGTTTATATCAACCCGAGCATGTTTGACGTGATGATTATGCTTATGATCACGGCGGTGATGTCGATGATGATGATCATGATCATGTTCTTTGGGTTCCACCGGACCAAATTTAAAAAGAGTCCCCAGAGCTAATTTGATATCTGGCGTCAGTCCCAAATCAGCCTTGATGCTTATAGCTATATCAAGTGGAGTCTCGCCATTATTGTTCTTGATATCTGGGTCAGCATCGAAAGCCAGGAGTGCCTTGACTAACAAAATGTTGATATTTGCGACTGCCATGTGGAGTGCAGTCTCTCCTGTCTCCTCGAACTGGAGGTTTGGATCAGAGTTGACAAGGAGAAGGTTGAAGACCGTTTTGACAAAGTCCTTGTTTACTGCTTTCATCAAGGGAGAGTAGCCA